GGCAGGTTTGACAGCATGGTCATGCCTTTCGAACTGGAAGCCTATGACATTTTAAAGAGCCGATCTGGTAAGATAGAAAACGAGATACTCAATGCAACTTACTGTAAAACACAAAATACTGTTTTTAAAGTATAAGTAATGAAATTATGCTGTTAAAATGACTTTGAAATTGGCAGAAAACTCACAGTGCACAAAACTGTATGCTTTATATATAATTTGAGCTATATTAGAAATCCACTGAACAGATCGTGTGCAGAATTTGAAAAGTGTTTCTGTAACATTGAAAGGACAGGGAGGTAAAAGGAACTCAAACGATTCCACCTGAAACAATAATAGTTTAGTGAATACTTGATTGAAGTACACAAAATCAAACACACAAAAAGAGAATTTACTTTTCTGGGGTAGTGTGAAATAGCCTTCTTCCGCTCAATGTACCACTGATATTATTCCATTCTGATAAGTAATGAGTAATAAATTGACTTATACATATTTAGAAAATAAGTAGCAGAGGTAACTCAAACTGCTTCAGGTTCATCAAGGACTTGTCTCAGCAAAACCAGAGCACACAAGTGCAAAGCTGAAGGCAAGGATAGAATGTAGAGGAATGTTAATAGGTTTACACAAAGAGTTGAGGATGTCTTGAACAAAGAACCTAATCACCTTAGGAGAAGCACTTAAGTAGGTTAAAACTGAACCCAACCGAGTAGTAAGAAAATCCACTTCGGAGCTGGTTCTGCACAAATCAGCTTTTCACATGCAGTCACGGGCTGACAGATTTGAACCCTGGTGCAACTGCGCCGTGATATGGTGATGGAGGTGAGGGATGTGCTTAGGGAATGTGGGAATGTTAAGACGTCTGGACCTTCAGGGTTCGGTACACTCCGACTAATGAGACGCAGCTGTGATTAACCCAGACCCAGACCACTTGTGACTACCCTCTAGGAACAGGCTGGGGGCTTGTTTCAGCACTGCAACAACAACAGCTGCCAACACAGTGAGAATCCTGCAAGCCGTACTGTATAACCCACATTTTTACAGAATTGTACAGATGAAGCAGAATGCAGGAATATTGTTTGAATGCTATGTATTAAAACCAGACTTCTTTTAAGGCCTGGTGAGAGTGATAAAGAACACATGGTGTTCTCGAGCTCTATATTGTGTGTTGTGTGAGAGCAAGAGTTGTGTCCTATTGAAGCAGCCAGAACTGCAGAATCTTGAATGCTCT